AAAAATAAAAATAAAAAAGACATCAAAAATAAGAAGAAATTAAAAATAAAAAATTTAAAACAACAAGAAATTAAATATGATCCAGTAATCCCTCCTCTGGGTGTGTATCCAAAGAAAGTGAAATTGCCACTCGTAAAGATATCTGCATGCTCATGTTCATTGCAGCATTACTTGTAAAAGTCAAGATATGGAAACAGCCTCAGTGTCTACTGATGGACAAATGGATGAAGAATATGTGATATATATGTACATATGTATTTGTGTGTGTATATATATTTCATTGTGTACATATATTCCATTGTGTGTGTATATATGTATGTGTGTGTGTATATGTGTGTGTGTGTGTGTATGTACACATATACATTTTTACATGATGGAATATTATTCCACTGAATAATAAAATAGGAATAGATCTTTCCATTTGCCACAATGTGGATGAATCTGGAGGCCATTATGTTAAGTGAAATAAGTTAGATACAGAAAGAAAAATATTGCATTTTTTCACTTCTACGTGGAATATTTTTTTAAGTCAAATATAAAGAGAGAATAAAACAGTGGTTACCAGAGGAGGGGTGGGGCTGGGGGAGGAAATGAGAAAGATGTAGAATAATGGATACAAAGTAGCAGATATATAGGATAAACAAGTCTAGAGATCCAGTGTACCCCATGAGAATTATAATCAATAACAGTGTGTTGTATTCGGGATTTATGCTACATAAGTAGCTTGTAGCTGTTCTTGCTATAAAGAAAATGGGTAACTATGTGAGATGATGGATATGTTTATTTCTTTCACTACAGTAACCATTTTACTATCTATATGTATCTCATAACATGTATTATATTGTGTATGTTGAGGATACAGAATATAATTAATTTTTAAATAATTAAATATGTGGGTGGTTGGGATGAGAGACTTCATTTTTTAGAATTCCACTTATGTATGAAAGATCAGACAAAATGAGTTCATAAATCACAATAGTATGGACAACATTTCTATTATATGAAGGATGCCTGTTGGATGCTAACTGATGTTTCTGTTACCGCTTCCTTTTAAATAAATAAATATATATATTTTTAA